GTGGATGGCCTGCATGTGGGGCGCGTTTTGTACTGTCTGTTCGTCTGTCTATATATGTGTCGTGCGCTCGCGCGTGCGTGCGTGCGTCGGCCGTTGCCGTGGCGTGGTGCTGTGCGTGCGTGCGCAGCGTGTGTGTGTGTGTGTGTGTGTGTGTGTGTGTGTGTGTGTGGCGTGCTTTGATGCGCGTGTATAGGTGGCGGTGAACGTTTCGTTGTGTTGCGCACAGCCTCTGAGGACTCTTATGCTATGCTATTTCGCGTGGCGACGCGTGGTCGCCCATCAGGAGTGGCAGCACGGTAGCCCTATCACATGCGCACAACGCCGTGCATTATATGTATATAATATATATATATATATATATATCATATATATATATATATATATGAATGCTGATGCCCGTCTAATCATACAAACAGTACTGTAGCACACGCGGCACAGTAGCAATTTAGAATCCCCCGCGAGGTCAAACTAATGCAATACTAATGTCGTATATTGGACGAATTCCCCCATCGCGGCGGGTCGGTCACGCGTCCGCAGGCGGCAGCACGTTGCCGGCGCGCGAATCCGTCAGCCGGGTGAAGCGTCCGACACACGTGGTCTGGCGCGCGCACGTTCGGGGTGAGTGACGGTGTCCGTGACCCCGGTGACCGGGGTGAGTGACGGTGTCCGTGACCCCGGTTACCGGGGTGAGTGACGGTGTCCGTGACCCCGGTGACCGGGGTGAGTGACGGTGTCCGTGACCCCGGTTACCGGGGTGAGTGACGGTGTCCGTGACCCCGGTGACCGGGGTGAGTGACGGTGTCCGTGACCCCGGTTACCGGGGTGAGTGACGGTGTCCGTGACCCCGGTGACCGGGGTGAGTGACGGTGTCCGTGACCCCGGTTACCGGGGTGAGTGACGGTGTCCGTGACCCCGGTGACCGGGGTGCGGCGGCGTCCTTAGTTTTGAAGGGCTAGCGTGGTCACTATTTCTTTCTCCTTCCCTCTGTCCCTACCTCGCGCTCTCTCTCTCTCTCTCTCTCTCTCTCTCTCTCTCTCCATTTCTCTCGAGATATGTTATTCTCTGTCTTTCTCTCTACCGCCCTCCTTCCTTGTCTGCTTTTCCCTTGCTCTCTCCCTCTCTCGTCTTCCCTCACTCTCTCTTCCTTCCTCCTCTTCTTTCGCTTTTGTAACAGTGCGCGGACAGTTTTATCGTTTCATCAAATTGTTTGTGGAGAAATTAATAGCTCTTCTCACATTGTACATTTTCTTATGGCATGTTGAGTACGCGTACACTAGCCAAGGTCGCGCCTGTGTGGCGAAGCAGGATGTCGGTTTTAACTGCGTAGATGCAAGCCCGGATATAAACACGTACGTATACGCGACGTGGTGCAGTGCGCAACAGGCGAGTGGCGAGGGGATGCCTTTCGGCCTGCAGTGGCCTTGGGATTCCCTGATGTGACGTCACCTCGCTAGTCATATATATATATGACCACACCTTGGGAGCTTTTGAGTTTCCAAGCGCGCGCACGGATATTCTCACTGTGCTAGTTATATTGACTGACGGACGGACGGACAGATTCATGTGTTAGACTACTGGATTTTTGGACTCTTGCTCATGTGTGTTGTGAGCAACATTAAATTCTTGTGCGTGGAAGCTCACTTTTGGACTTATGATATTATTTGTGTGATCGCTTTTCCTTCGAGCGGAAATGCAACACGAACGAATTGGGTTTGGAAATTAATGCAATTATACAATCAATACGAATCAAGGAATAACACAACGCAAGGCTTAGGACAATAATACGATCACGAGCCACACATAGTCGGGTGTCTCCCGACGTATGTACACGAACTGAAACGCGAACTGGTTTGACTTTCTCCCTCTCTCTCCCTATGTACGTTGTGTGGATGGCGTATACATTGCGTGTAGATCGCGTGTAGATCGCGTGTGTTGATGGGGCTGCTCGTTTACGACCCTCGCGCGTGCTAGCGAACTGGTCGCGTGCACATGATGCACTCACTCACTAGCTAGCAGCAGCAGCAGCATCTATAGCCAGCCAGTCAGCATGCATTTCATCATCGATCTCTAACCCCCTCCCCCCGTCTCGGTGAATTATCAGGCATGCTGAGAACAGATTCTGGGGTGGCCTTGTGTGTATGGTTTCTGACACAACTGGTGTTCTCAGCCTCCGCCATCTCTACATCGCCGCACCAACGACGCCCTGCGGACCACTTACACTGTTGTGAGCCAGCCGAGGAAGAATGGATCGATGAGCGAATGGGTGCAGGGGGAAGGTTATGTAGTGGATGTCCTAAAAGGGGGGAAATTTAAAGGATGTCTAAAAGTGGGTACTAAACACTAATATGCCGTTTTTAATATGAGGTGGGAGGGTGTAATATATGGGGAAGGGGGAAGGCTGTATACTGTCTAGCGTTGATGGACGGATGGTGATGCTGAGTAAGTCCAGAGAGACATGATACAAGATTGCGTGGCACAGCTTTGCTGTTGATCCTAAGCGCTGCGCGCGGATGAGACGCGCAGTTCCGCGGGATATGCGCACGCGACCGCGGGATGTTCAAGTATGAAGCTCTGTCCGCAGTGGAGACGTGCGCCAAATTCGAGGCCCGGCGCACGTCTCCACAGCGGTCAGCGGATGGGGCTGTAGTTTTAGAAGATGAACAAATGATTTATATGAACGATATTCTACGAATTGGAGATTATAACAACAGTAACAAAAATGCGCTCAGTCATGCCCAGATTTAGCTGAATCACAAAAGTTAGAAATTTAATTATGAAGCAAAACAAATACAATGTTTATAAAATTTCACCAACAATGAAAGATATGAGAAAAGGAACCAAGGCAACCAAAGCAATAGGCAACCAAGTCCAATAGGCACCAAAGTAATGCAAAAAGCATCATAAACCAACATATGTCAGGGGATTAATTAATGATATAACGGGGTTATTGACCTGAAAAATGTGATGATGAGCCGTTTCATGATGAGCGAAATAATATTATTATCATGGGGAAAGCAGCAAAATTACTGGAAATCATCCTATAGAAGCAAAAGTGAAATTATGACGAATAGTTTTACCTTTTCTTCGTAATATAACAAGTGAAACATGACTAACTTAACTAAGGAAGAAGTAAAAAGTTGGATGGATGATTGCCAAAATGAGTGCCTGCGTCAGACATAATAGATCACAGCAAAAAACGCAGAAAAAATCTAACGGAAAGGCATTGAAAAGACGTATGAAAATTCCAAGGAAAGATAAGGAAAATGCAGCTAAAGAATAACATATAGTTTCTATACGTAAATCGTGGTAAATACATGTCGTTACCCTCATCACGTTAATTAAGGCAAACTACAGCGACTAGCCGGCAGCCTAGATTCATGCGTAGATTGTGTCATCATGTCTGAGGAATTTCCTCTTTATGCTTGAGGTCACGATTCTCAAGGTGGTTGCGCACTGGTAGTGGTTGCTTGTTGCTCACTTTTGTGCCTTGCTTGTTGCTCGCTGTATCGGTTGCTTTGTGTTCGCTGTAGTGGTTGCTTGTTGCTCGCTGTAGTGGTTGCTTGTGGCTCCTGTAGTGGTTGCTTGTCTGTGTTGTGTAGTGCTCGCGTGTATGCTTGCTTGTTGGGTCGCTGTAAGTGGTTGCTTGTGGGTTCGGCCGTAGTGGTTGCTTGTTGCTCGCTGTAGCGGTTGCTTGTTGCTCGCTGTAGTGGTTGCTTGTGGTTCGCTGTAGCGGTTGCTTGTGGTTCGCTGTAGCGGTTGCTTGTGGCTCGCTGTAGTGGTTGCTTGTTGCTCGCTGTAGTGGTTGCTTGTTGCTCGCTTTTGTGCCTTGATCGTTGCTTGCTCTAGTGGCTGCCTGTTGCTCGCTTTTGTGCCTTGATCGTTGCTTGCTCTAGTGGTTGCCTGTTGCTGGCTTGTTGCTCGATGTAGTGGCTGCCTGTTGCTGGCTTGTTGCTCGATGTAGTGGTTGCCTGTTGCTGGCTTGTTGCTCGATGTAGTGGCTGCCTGTAGCTGGCTTATTGCTTGCTATTGTGGTTGCCTGTTGCTTGCCTGTGTTTGCTATGGTGGTTGCCTGTTGCTTGCCTGTTGCTTGCTATGGTGGTTGCGTTTCCTTGGTAAATCGATTGTTTATTGTTTGCTGTAGAGGCCGCGTATTGCTTCGTGTAGCGGCTGCCTGTTGCTTTCCGCTTTGATTAAGTTTTCAATGCTGTAATTGTTGTTTCTTGTCTGCTGTATTAGTTGCGCGTGGCTGGCTGTAGATGTTTTTTGTGGTTGTTTGGTGTATAGTCGTTTATGTTCATTTCTGTATAGTAGCCGTTGCTTGCTGAGGTAAGCGCCCCAATCGCTGAACATCTCATCTAGTGTATGTGAGGGCGACGGAAGTGGGAAATGGGGGAGGGGAGGGGTCACGACCCCACGTCCCTCTCTCAGAGGATGTACTGATGTATATATCGTTGAGGAGGCCTGTAGAGTTATCGAAGCCGACCTTTATGGGTGCTGAAACGGAATTCTTCGGATGCGGTTAGGCAGGCGTAACTTTAAGGACGTATTTGCTGAAGCCATATTCCCAGCATCTCAAGATGCGGTTGCTATGCCCGGGATGCGATTGCTATGCCCGGGATGCGGTTGCTATATCCGGGATGCGGTTGCTCCCGCCGCCGCCGGGTCTTGACGAGGCGGTTTTGATTTCGTCTGCTGCTTCCGACGGTCGCCATCCCTCATACTCCATCGCCGACACCGATCTCCGCCGGGTAAAGGTCACTGCTGTTGAAAAGGTTGTTTGCTCTCTCTGGTCTTTTGATTTCAGGAGAGAGTAGCGAGGCGGTAGAGTCTTCAGTTAGACTGTCGTCTCGTCGTGAATCTTCTTCTTAACTGTGTAGTGAAGAAGACGAGTCTCTGGCTAGGCCTTCGCTTGATTGTCAGTCTCGTTTCAACGGAGTAGTGAAGTAGATAAAGTTTGTCAGTCTCGTTTTCACAAAGACCCGGATGATCTTACCAAGCAGAAGCCAATCTGCATTCTCTCCGCATGAAGTGCCCGTAAGGCATGTCCAGCAATCATTGACCCGAGTTTCTCTTTTGTAGCATGCCGGCGTGCTGGCGCATTACAATACGAATGCTGTATCTGATACGTCTAGAGAAATATCTTGGTGTAATGAATGTAATGTAATGAATGTAGGCGACTAACGTTTAACCGTTATCATCATTATTATTATTTTATATTTATATTATTATCATTATCTATTATCATTATCATTATGCATTAAATCATCTAATTATTAGTGAAACCCCACTTGAGTTGGCGACTAATAATGTCGAAGGAAAAGAAGATGTTATTATTAATCATCAATTATTGCCCCGCACGCATACAGGACGTGTGCGGTTTTGGAGAGGTGTTATAATTAGCTGCTGCACTCAGGAGGCTGGTAGGCTGGATGCTTTCATGGCTTCATGTACTCGCAGCCGCGAGCGACCATGCGCGCGCCGGTACTTCTGTGTGTGTGTGTGTGTGTGTGTGTGTGTGTGTGTGTGTGTAGTGTTGTTGTGGTGCGTGTGCGCTGCGTGCCCTGCATGCTGCGTAGTCTGCTGCCGCGTGTGTGTGTGTCGTCCTCTGAAGGCATGCATGTAGTGATCTCGTATCGATGCGTGTAAAAACGACTGCGTTTTGTTATTGAAGCAGTGGTGAGTAACAGATACCGCAGCAGCCGTTTACAGAGAAATGTAAAATGAGATAGGAGTGGGAAGAGGAAAGAGATGGAAGAGAGTAAGAGAAGAGTAAATGAGGAGGAGAAGGAGTGAGAGAGCGGAGACAGGGAGGCTAGAACGTAGACGAGAGATGCAAAGAGAATGTGAAAGAGCGAATAAGATGTCGAGCAGTAGCAGGGAGAGAGAGAAGAAGACGAGAGAGAGAGAAGCAGAAGACGAGAAGGAAACAAAATTGCAAAAGCAAGGAAAGAGAGGGAAAGTGGGAGAGATAGGAAGAAAGTGGAGAAGAAATAGGTGAAGGAGGGCCGGATATATTGTATAGCTGCTTCATCGGCACACAAGCCGCATGAATTGACTACAATATGACTTGTATTGTATATATATAGATATTGATATATTTATATATATATATAGTATATATATAAATATATATATTATATATATAGATATTGCATATATTATATATATATTAGTATATATATATATTATTATTATGCAAGCGCAACCTAGCGTCTCTTTCGCGGCTGATGTGGCGGAGGTTAGCGAGAGATCGAGAGATTACATGCTCTAATGCGACGCGATCGTCTCTCGCTGTGCGACAACGTAGCAATTCCGTCGGGGAGAGCTTGCGCAGCCGCCGCATCGCAGCTTCAGCGTGGCTTCAGCAGCGCGCTGTTCGTCTGCTGGCTGGCCCATATCGACGGCGGCGGCGTGAATGGTGGGCGTGAAATTGAGTGGCCTCCGTGAAGGGCGTGGTAGCTGGGCGCGAGCTTGCATTGAAGCCGCCCGAGCTGCCTGATTCGCATTTTGATGAAGGCCTCTCTTCGGGGCTTCTGTCACGACGGACGTTGCATCCGCGATCCTCGCAGCGCTGCGCCGCGCTCGGCTGCCTGCTCAGTCTCCCGTCTTGTCCTTTGTGTGTACGTGTTTTCCGCAACCGAGGCTTGGCGATAGACGCTGTCTCACTAATTCGCAGTGGCACTGCTTGAAATGGCTCGTTAGCCTCTGTGTTCGTCCACGTCGCCCGTCCGTCGACGGCTGGGCCATCATGCACTGAGCTTATAACCGCGCGTCAGTTGTAGACGTCGACGCTGCGCCATCATGCACTGACTTAATAGACCCGCGTCGTTGTAGCGTCCGAGCCTGCGCCATCATGCACTGACCTTATAACGCCGACGTTCCGTTGTAGCGTGACGGTTCTTGCGCCATCATGCCTGACTTATAACGCCGCGGTCGTTGGTATACGTGCGCGCTGCGCATCATGCACTGACTTATAACCCACGCGTCGTGACGTCGACGCTGCGCCCATCATGGCACTGAGCTTATAACCCCGCGGTCGTTGTAGACGTCGACGCTGCGGCCAATCATGCCTGACTATAACCCGCGTCGTTGTAGAGCGTCGACGCTGCGTGCATCATGCACTGCCTTATAACCCCGCAGTCGTTGTAACGTCGACGCTAGGCCATCATGCACTGACTTATGACCCGCGTCGTTGTAGCGGTCGATGCTGGCCGCGCATCAATGCACTGACTTAGTAACCCGCGTCGTTGTAACGTCGACCCGCTGGGCCATGCATGCACTGACTGTATAACCCGGCGTCGTTGTAACGCGATCTGGGCCACAGACGTGACTAAAGCCATACGTCGATGGCATCATGCACTGTTATAACCTCGTCGTTGTAGCGTCGACGCTGCGCCATCATGCACATGACTTATAACCCGCGTCGTTGTAACGTCGACGCTGCGCCATCATGCACTGACTTATAACGCCGCGTCGTTGTAACGTCGACGCTGCGCCCATCACATGCCTGACTTATAACCACCGTCGCTTGTAGCGTCGCGCTGGGCCATCATGATGCTGACTTATAACCCGCGTCGTTGCTAACGTCGACGCCATCTCCATCATGGCACTGACATTATAAGCCCGCGTCGTTGTAGACGTCGACGCGTGCGCCATCATGCACTGACTTTATAACCGCGCGTCGTTGTATACGTCGACGCTTGCGCCATCATGCACTGACTTATAAACCCACGGTCGTTGTATACGCTCGACGCTGGCGATCATGCCACTGACTTATAAGCCCGCGTCGTTTGTAACGTCGAGCCGCTGGCGCATCATGCACTGACTTATGAACCCGCGTGCGTTGTCAACGTCGACGCTGGCGCCATGCATGCAGACTGACTTATAGCCCGCGTCGTTGTAACGTCGACGCTGCGTCATCATGCACTGCGACTTATAACCCAGCGTCCGTTGTAACGTCGACGCTGCGCTCATCATGCACTGACTTAATAACGCCGCGTCGTTTGAGTAACTCGACCGCTGCGCGCAGTCATGCACTGACTTATAAACCCGCGCCGCGTTGTAAGCGTCGCATCGCTGCGCCATCATGCAGCTGAACTATAACCGCCGTCGTGTAACGTCGACGCTGCGCCATCATGCACTGACATTATAACCCACGTCGTTGTACGTCGACGCTGCGCCATCATGCAAGCTGACTTAATAACCGCCGCGTCGTTGTAACGTCGACCGCCTTGCGCCATGCAATGCAACTGACATTATAACCCGCGTCGTTGTAGCGTCGTCGCTGCGCCATCAATGGCACTGACTTATAACGCCACGTCGTTGTAACGTCGCGACGCTGGCGCATCAACTGCACTGATTAAACCCAGCGATCCGTTGTAACGTCGATACTAGCCTCACTGCATTGACTATAAGCCGCCTGCGTTGGTAGTGACGCTGCGATTGATGATTATAAGGCGCGTGTGTAAGGTGGCCCGCTCATCACCTGAATGACTTATACACCAGCTACGTTAGACTACAACGATCGGCTCGCGCATCAATCGCACTTGACTTAAAACCGCGTGCCTTGTAACGTGACGCTCCGCCATCCCCATCAGGCAACTGGCTTATCCCGCCGCCGCCCTTGTCCGTCCGAGCGCTGCGCCATTCATGCACTGACTTATAACCCGCGTCGTTGTTAACGTCGACGCTGGGCCATCATGCACTGACTTATAACCCGCGTCGTTGTAGCGTCGACGCTGCGCATGCATGGCCACCTGACTTATAACCCGCGTCGTTGTAGCGTCGACGCTGGGCCATCATGCACTGACATTAATAACCCGCGTCCGTTGTAACGTCGACGCTGCGCCATCATGCACTGACTTATAACCCCGCGTCGTTGTAAAAACGTCGACGCTGGCATCATGCACTGACTTATAACCCACGTCGTTGTTAACGTCGCGCTGCGCCATCATAGCACTTGACTTATAACCCATCGTCGTTGTAGGCGTCGTCGCTGCGTCCATCCATGGCACTGACTTATAACCGGCGCGTCGTTGTAACGTCGACGCTGGCCATCATGCACTGACTTATAACCCGCGGTCGTTGTAACGTCGACGCTGCGCCAATCATGCACTTGACTTATAACCCGGCGTCGTTGTAGCGTTCGACGTCTGCGCCATCATGGCACTGAACTTATAACCCACGTCGTTGTAGCGTCGACGACTGCGCCCATCATGCACTGACTTATTAACCCGCGTCGTTGGTAGCGTCGTCGCTGCGCCATCATTGCACTGACTTATAACGCCAGCGTCGTGTTAACGTCGACGGAGTCGCGCCATTCATGCACTGACTTATAACCCACGTCGTTTGTAGCGTCCGACGTTGCGCCATCAATGCACTGACTTAATAACCCGCGTCGTTGTAGACGTCGACAGCTGCGCCATCATGCACCTGACCTTATACCCGGCGTCGTTGTAACGTCGACCGCTGCGCATCATGCACTGACTTATAACCCGCGTCGTTGTATACGTCGTCGCTGCGCCATCATGCACTGAAACTTATAACCCGCGTACGTTTGTAACGTCGACGCTGCGCCATCATGACACTGACTTTATACACCCGCGCGTCGTTGTAACGTCGACGTGCGCCATCAATGCGACTGACTATAACCCGCGTCGTTGTAAACGTCGACGCTGCGGCCATCATGCACTGACTTATAACCCCCGCGTCGTTGGTAACGTCGTGCGCTGGCGCATCATGCACGTGACTTTATAACGCTCGCGTGTTGTAACGTCGCGACCTGCGCGCATCATGCACTGACTATAACCCGCGTGTTGTAACGTCTGACCGAGCTGCGCCATCATGCACTGAACTTATAACCCGCGTCGTTGTAAGCGTCGACGCTGCGCCATCATGCACTGACTTATAACCGCGCGTTCGTTGTAAACGTCGTCCGCTGCGCATCCATGCACTGACTTATAACCCGCGGCGTTTGTTAACGTCGACGCTGCGCTCATCATGCACTGACTTATAACCGCGTCGTTGTAACGTCCGACGCTGCGCCATCAATGCACAGACTTATAACCCGCTGTCGTTGTAAACGTCGAAACGCTGCCGCCATCATGACGTGACTTATAACCGGCCGCGTAGTTGTAAACGTCGACGCTGCGCCATCCATGCACATGCTTATAACCCGCGTCGTTGTACACGTCGTCGCTGCGGCGGCCATCATGCACTGACTTAGTAACCCGCGTCTTTTGTAACGTCCGGACGCTGCGCGCATCATGCACTGACTTATAACCGCGTCGTTGTAACGTCGACGCTGCGCCATCATGGCAAACTGACTTATAACCCGCTCCGTTGTAGCGTCGACGGTCTGGCGCCATCATGCAACTGACTTATAAGACGCGTCGTTGTAACGTCGTCCGCTGCGCCATCATGCACTGACCTTATAACCCGCGGCGTTGTAAACGTCGACAGACTGCGCCATCATGCACTGAGACTATAAACCCGTTCGTCGTTGTAACGTCGACGCTGCGCCAATCATGCACTGACTTATAACGCCGCGTTGTTGTAACGTCGTCGCTGCGCCATCATCACTGACTTATAAACCCGCGTCGTTGTAACGTCGAACGCTGCGCCAATCATGGCACTGACTTTATAACCCGCGTCGTTGTAACGTCGACAGCTGCGCCTCATGCACTGACTTATAACGCCGCGTCGTTGTAGCGTCGACGCTGCGCCATCATGCACTGACATTATAACCCGCGTCGTTTGTAACGTCGTCGCCGCCGCCCTCAATGCACTGACTTATAACCCGCCGATTGTAACCGTCGACCGCTGCGTCGCATCATGCACTGAGCTTATAAGCCCGCGTCGTTGTAACGCTCGACGCTGCGCCATCAATGCATCTGAAACTTATAACCCGGTCGTTGTTAACGTCGACGCTTGCGCCCATCATGCACTGACTTAAATACCCGCGGTTCGTTGTAACGTCGACCGCGCCATCATGCACTGACTTATAACCCGCGTCGTTGTAACGTTCGTCGCTGCGCCAATCATGCCACTGACTTATAACCCGCGTCGTTGTAAACGTCGACGTCTGCGCCATCATGCAGCTGACTTATACACCGCGCGTCGTTGTTAACGTCGACGCTGCGCCATCATGCACTGAACTTATAACCCGCGTCGTTGTAGCGTCGAGCGCCTGCCGCGACATCATGCACTGACTTATAACCCGCGTCGTTTGTAACGTCGTCGCTGCGCCATCATGCACTGACTTATAACCCCACTCGTTGTAAACGTCGACGGCGCGCGCCATCAATGCACTGACTTATAACGGTCTAGCCCGCCCCGCGTCGTTGTAACGTCGACGCTGCGCCATCATGCACTGACTTATAACCCGCGTCGTTGTAACGTCGACGCTGCGCCATCATGCAACGTGCACTAGTCATTAGCCTGCATGTAAAAGTCTCTCTTGCACGACAAATCACCGTGTGGGCGTGGCGCCCTCCTTCACGCATCACATCACTTGTTCACGACGACTGCGCTCCTCTTCTCTCTCTCATGCTCTGCTCTCTCTCTCTCT